ATCCGGCAGAGCCCTGCTGGGCAGGAGCGCCGCAGAGCTGGGCCTGGTTATCTTATCTTAGGCACCCTCTATTGATATTTAGAAATCTGCTTTTGTTGCCAAGAGATTTACAACTGTAATCGTCCAAATATTTCTAGAAAACAGACCAAAAGCTGTTGGTTTTGCTTATGTGTTGCTACTTGTTTACTGATTGAAAGTGCCAGGAACCAAGTTTAACTATGAGAAATAGCGTGCCAGTCCCTCAGATGTTTGGATCGGGGATAATTCTTTGTGTTTAATTCTGCCAGATCGAATTCATGGGCTTTGTCTGGGTCCGGAGGTCAGTGAGTGAAGGAATGTAGGACTTCAGGGGGGCTTCACATGCCCACCCACAGCCCAGGACTTGGCAGAGCCAAATCAATACATGGAAATAGGAATACATAAAAAAAACCCCAGTTTCTTTTGACTAAATCTGGATACCTTGACTTTCATATTTGTCTGTGTCTTTGTATATTATCTTTAGAGAGGTGAGTTACTGGAAGAGCAGCTCTTTGCGCAGGGGCAGGGTTTCGGGGAAGCCGGGAAGGTTCAGACCACAGCTCCCAGGGAGGGGCGGCGGCGCTGGCGCCCTCGCTTTGGGCGCTGCCCTCCCTCGGCTCTCAGACCAGGCCCACGGCTGGTGTTGCCTGGCCAGGAGGGCTGCTCTGGGGTTCAGCTCCATCATGCCCGAGGGGACGGCGTTGGGTGGCCCGTGAGTACAGTGTCCCTGCGAGTGCCGCTCCGCACGGTCTTTGCTGGGTTCCAGGGCCGAAGCAGCAGCGCGGTGAGCGGCGTCGCGGGGAACTGGGCGCCCTCCCGTTCCCTGTAAGTAGCTGATAATTACACTCGGATTTTAGCTGTTTGTCTTGTACGGAAGTGCCTGTTGGTAACATGTACACACCTTCCACCTCTCTTGCGAGGTGGCTAAGATGGCCAACCCTAAGTTATTACTTCATAATAATGGGTTTATGAAACTTGCGTTTGTGATTTTATAGGCTTATTCTTTCTATTTATTTCCAGTGTAGAACTGCCTGCAAATCAGCAGTTGATCAACACCCATTCAGCCATTTTGGTATTCTCCAATTATACGTCTTATTGATAAACTGTGGTAGTTAAACGGTCTGCAGATCTAAGTTCACCTCCTGGATCGCAGAAGATTTAAGAACCAGTTAAAAAAAAAAAAAAAAAAAAGGAGGGGGAAGGGGGAATTGTTTGGAGAGCAGGGGTAGAGCACAGACTCACTGTGTGATTTGCTGTTGTGCGCTTTAAAGTTTTATGGCCCATGTTGCATCCCTTGGGAGGATAAAGTGCAAGGAGCATGAAGAAACCCATAAAATTACGAAGGGTTTATGTGGTATAATTAATATGGAACTTTCCATGAACTTTATAATAGTTGTACTTTCTTAATTTTACACGAGTTTCTGGTTTGCTAATAAGTAATCTTGAAGATGGCTAATGGAACTTAAATTTTGGATTTTCAGACTGAATTATAACGAGATACCTTGTAGGCTGTTGTATTTTAGTATATAGCTTCCTTATTGTAGTTTTCAGAATTGGCTGTGCATGCCTTGGGAAGCGTTTTTGAGCTGTGGCCAGCTTTGCACTAAAAAAAACCCCCATGTCGATACAGCTTTACTGGCAAATCCTCCTTGTGCAAGTGCAGCTTTGCTTGCAGAAGCACTTTTTATTGACACTGGATGGGTTTGCAGATCACAATGTCATAAGTCGCACCCATAGCAAAAATAATACGAGGAAGAAAGTTCAAGTACAAATCTGGCCTCCATTTGCACAGTAAAATCAAATAAGCGTTGTGAAATTGTAGCTCCTTTTTTTAACTACAGAGGAAATTTTCGTTCTAAACAAATGTAACGTTCCCTCTGGTGCGTGCTGGTTGCTCTGAGTTGGGTGTGGATGCTGAGCCGCCTGGAGTCTCGCTGCTCTGACTTTATCGGGAGGCCCTGCGGTCGGGCGGTGGGTGTGTCAGGTTGACTAGTGATGACAGGCTTGATTCCAACCAAAGGACGACCGCTTTTTTTGTTTTCTCCGCCTCCCTAAAGATCTCTGTGTTGCAGTTGGGAGGATGGCGACGCTACTTGTGAGGAGCCGGAGCAGCAAAGCGATAGTTGATCCAAGGCAAGGGAGCTCGTGGTAGCCGCTCTGTGGGTGGGGTGGCAGACCCTGCCTGGCGCCGGTGCAGCTGCCGAGGGAAACACTTTGCGGAGGAAGCTGCCTCGTGGCGTGGAGGCCTGGGGGTGAGCGAGGCCTGCCGGCACCGTTAGTGCAGCTGAGAGTGAGCCTCCTCCCCTGTGCCTGGCACCCCCGTTTTCTCTGCACAGCGTTTGGGGGTACGTCATGACCCTTCCAGTGGGTGGAGGAGCGAGGGTCACAGCAGTCTGTGTGTGTCCTTTGGGGCAAGGCGCTTTCTCACTCTTCATCCTCTTAGCTGGTTGGCCAACGTTGTCCTTCTCCAAGGTCAAACCTGTTTCAGAGGTCACCGAATTTAAGATTCACTTCCCATGATGTGATTATTGTCATCCCGACTGCGCGGCGGGAGGATCCTTGAACAGAAAGCCCGTTAGATTGAGGCAGGTGGCAGGTGTTGTTTTCCATGTTGGGGATTTTCTGGAATGAAGAAATGTCGTTGCTAAATGTGGAAAAGGGAAGCGCACGTGAGATGTAGTGACACTTGAGGATGATGAAAATGACCTTCCCTTGCTATAATAACAAAGGTGTGAGGTGCGCACAACAGGAGTTGGAAGGTTTAGAGTCAGCAAGTTCTGATAACTTCTACCAAAACATTTTCAAGGGAACTATTTTCCATAGGCACTTTCTGGATTAATAATACTGATAATTGATGACAGTGGAAGAAAGTTAATAAAACGAGCTGAATAATTAGAGGTCTGCCAGCCCTGCAAAATAATGGAATGAATGATAGAGGACTTGACTGATACGGAGGTAAGGGGAAGTAATACAATTAATGTCAATTAAAATGTGCCCATGGAAAATAAGCTGATGAGATGTAACTGGGGATGTAGTTTGGCTGATAAAAGCAATAATGTGTGCTGTAAAATACTTCGCCGCCTTAATGAATTGAATGTAGTGCAATGCAATATTTTGAATGAGAAATGAAAACGGTATAAAATTAATGTAGGGAATGTTAAGTAGGTACCAGGCGAATCGGGTGGCAGACCTGGAACGGCGGTGGGAATGGCTGGGGGCTGCTGTGGCGGCTCGCGGGGGGTATCCCCAGGCGCCAGGACGTGGTGTTTGTGAAGCTCTGAGCGGCCAGGGGTGGTGGGGGATGACAGAGGTGGTGGCCACACGTGCAGAGCGTTGGCTGGGAGAAGGATGTGGCTGAAAAGCCCCGCAGAGTAACGGTCTGAGATGTTCGGTGTCAAGCTAGAAATCCTGGAATGGTACGGAAAAAAATAACCCAGAGAACCCTCTTCCCGATTTCTTTATCAGTTGAGCAGAGATCAATACTGCCCGACTGCGTGTTCGCCCAGGAAGAAGTATGGAAGTGGCAGCCCTGTTGATTTAGTCTAACGCAGTGTACAGTAAAGTTCCCAATAACTCAGGGAGCTCACAGGACTCGTAAATTATAGAGCAGCTCACGTTTATCATACACATCGCTGCTTATCTTGTAAACTCATCTGCTGTGCTTGCACGAGTAGTTGATTTAACAGCATGTATATTGTTGAACTTGACACATCCAAGAGTATAATCAAGCTTTAAAAATACTAGGGATGTCTCGCTGCTCGTTTGTGCTCTTCGCCCGCTTCCTACAGTGATTGCGGGACGGGTTCTCTCCGCTTTGCTGCGGGTCATGCGAGATTCCTGCACCGTGCGTAATTGCAGAGGAGTTTTATCATGGTGCCGGCGTCTGTTTAATGACATAAATTGATTAGATGTGTAAAAGGGAAAAAGTTAATATCCTTTTTCAGTACACTTCCAAATGGGAAAGGACTATAAATTAATTTTGTAGGGTAAAATGCCAGTGCAGAGGGGTCCTGCGCGGGTAGCGCTGCCCAGCGTCTGTCAGGCGCAGCGGTGGCGGGGTGCAGGAGCACTGCTGGAGCTCCCGCGCTGTAGCTGGGATGTCGTTCCTGCTGTTCCAGTTCCCTCTTCCGCGGGGACTGGTTTGTCTGTAAACGTGCACCGTGCGCGGGTGCTCTGCTGCTTTGGTGGTGGTAGCAGGGTGATGGAGACACACAGCCGGGCGAATGCTGCTGGGATTTCTGTGGGCTGCTGTTGGACTTGAGGGGGTTTGGGTCTCTATTTTTTTTTTTAGGGAGAATTGATGCACTTTATAAATTTTTAGCAACAAAAAGGAATATTTAATTCTTCAGTATTTCTGCTTTGAGACTCTGAGTATGGTGAGGTAGGAAGATTTTGGTGCCTCTATCTCCCTGTCACATTGAGGAACTACGTTCACTTTTTGAGCTGTCCATTGAAAGAAAAGTAACCTGGTTTTAATCAGGTACAGCGCATTTTAGTTTTAAATGAACTAATAGACCTCGAGTTGCATTTCTACCGCAGCTTGACAAAATTATAGCAGCTACTGGAGCTCTGTGCTTATTTACTTGCAAATCCTGTCGAGTGTGAACTTCATTTATGACTTTCCTGGCAGGTCATACTGCTGTGGTCACAGCTTCTCTAACGTTTTGTCGCTATTGCTTGTAAAATTTGTCACTGAGGGAAATAATAAGTTAGAATAGGCACAGGTAAGCACACACACAGGCTCCTTGTGCACAAATCCATCCAAGCTCTTCTCAAACTGCAACCACGATGAATTAAACTGTTTATATTTCTGAAATAAAGGTGCAATTTCAATAGAAAGCCGTGTTCTTCTTTGCCGTGACAAATTGCTTGTGCTTTGACAAGTGAACTGGTGGGTTTCCAAGTCTTCTTGTAGCCAGGGTCTCCTACTGGCAACCACCTATTCTCCTGTGTATACATCACATGTCTCCTCTTCTTTCTAGATGATCATGGGAACAGCAATGGCAGTCATGTAAAAATCTTTTTACCGAAGAAGCTGCTTGAATGTCTACCAAAATGTTCAAGTTTACCGAAAGAGAGGCACCGCTGGAACACTAATGAGGTAGTTACATCTCTTTATTTATTTTAAACTTACCAGCTTTACTTGATGCTTACAGATTATTTTTTGAGAGCCTGCCATGTAAGTTACAGAATTCCCTGGCTCTGGAACCTATTGTTTAAATAACAAAGTCCTGTTATGTGTTGAAAGCGAGCTCTAAACTAGACTTGAAGGCGAATTTGGCAGCTGACTACTCCTATAGTAGGAGTCTGTTGCTTGTGTGTGTGTGACTTGTGTCAGAGAGCCAAATCTTCTATCATCTTATTGACGTGTTTCAAAATTGTTTCAAATTAGATAGGTGTTTTGGTACTGTGTAAACATAATGTCATCTGATTATGTGTAAAGACTTCTGAACAGAACCCCAGCGCGTGTTCTTTCCTGCCAAACAGGGTCCTGAGAAATAACTAGCCTGCTCCTGTCTGAGAAATCTTGTTAAGAACGGGGGATGCACAGAACCGGGCGTTTTATACTGGAATCCCGTTACTCTGAACGTGCTTGTTTGCATATCTCCTGTTAATACATCGTGGTTGGGTTCACTGGAATGTGACAGGAGTGTTTAAAATTCAGGTGTCTGGGGGGCCAAGGAGAAGTTGAAGATCAGTCCAGATAGGCCTGTGACCCCTTGCCTTCATTCCTTCTGGGCAGCCGGGCTGGAAGTGACATGGCAATACTTGCAGTATAGTTTTAGTTCTTAGTAGCACTCTCTTACAGTACCTCTGCCACATTTGTGGGAATGATTTAATGATCAAAGCGATCAACTTTGAGAAATTCCTGTAAAACTCCAGTAGTGTCTGCCTGTTGCAAGCTAACTGTTCTTGTCCCTCCAGTCATTTGTAACATCTAAACACGTGAATGAAAACCACCCCCCGAGTTCAATGACTGCAAGTGTCAGGCTGGGCGCAGGATCAAATTGGGATCAGTTCACGTGTGTAGTTTTTTCAAAGCTGGAGTCCTTCACCCCCCTCCTTCTTTTGTCTGAAAGTTAAGGTCAAGTCCATCTATTTTTAACATACTAAGCGCTGTGACAGAATTAATCGGGGTTTTTTGGGAGTTGCTGGTGGTGGCTCTTCTGTGGAGATGTTTTTGTCTTGGGTCATTTGAACTGAAATGTAAATTGTAGAGACGGTGTGTTGCAGTGTACTCTGCTGTTGATGTGACGGGGACGGGACATGTGCTGCTGGCAGTTCTGGTGGCTCTGAAAGGTGGTGCTTTGACAAAGGTGAGAAAGCAAGCTCTCTGCACGGGTTTGTGGCAGAATGATGCTCCTGGTTACTGGGAATGGCTTGTTGGTTTTTAGCCACTTTTGTCTAGTGTTTCTGTTGTCCCTAGTTCAGACCTTGTGTATGCATTTACACACGCAGGCTTTCAGCTTTTCTTCTCGAACAATGTCTGGTGTGTGGAGCCTCCCAGGGTACAGAATGTGGCAAATGAAGTTAATCATATAGCTGGGAATCTTTATTATTCATAAGCATGAGGCAAATGGGAAAGCGTAGGCGCTTGTGAGGTGAATTAGGCTAGAAGTAAGATTCGGGAGCGCAGCCCTTCTGAAGGACGTGCCAGCATTCTGGAGGGGGGGGAAGGTGGATGGTTTGGGTGGTGCTTGCCAGCATATTGCTGGTGTAGGTTTGTCTCATACCTTAATTCGAGATGGATTGTTTGCTAATACCCGCAGATCACCAGCTGGTATGTTAAAAAACCTAAACCAACCCACTTCTGTCTTTGAATGTCAAGTTTGTCACACTCACTTGTATCTCTCTCCTCCAAAATCTGTCCCTGTGGCTGCCACGCAGCGGGGACGAGGAGCTGGGTCTGTCCGTGGATTATTACTGGTGCTGTCTCTGCCAGCGTCTGTGGTGTGTCGGTTGCAGTTTCCCTGTTGCATTATTTAAAAGGAAGAGCTTTTCTTGTGGCCAGAGATTTTTGGCCTCATTAGCTCAGTGAAGGAAAAAAAAAAAAGAAGAAAAAGAAAAAGGCAGAATCTTATGCCTAGATGAAGTCTTGGAAAATTTGTGTTAATTACGGGGGAGGAGGGAGCTTAGCTTACAGATTTTATTTCCCTCCCCACTCCCAACCTAGAAGTTTAATTCTGCTCACTGTTATAAAACTTGAATTTTTCTTAGGGTATAATTGAATAATAATGTTGGATTACATTTCACAGTCATTCCGAAGGGAATATGTTTTTTCATCTGAATACACAGGTGTTCTGTCTATGCTGGTGAAAGCACGGGTTGTAAAATACAGAAGAAAAAGATGTATTTTATACAGTGGCACTTCCAGAATCTTTGTGTTCATTTCAAAGTCGCTGGTGCTGCTTGCGAGGGGTCTCACCCAGAGGGAGGTTTATTGAAAGATGTAAAAGAAATAAAATGTTTATAGTAACTTACAGATCTGCCTGTGCCTATGACATTGCTGTCCTCCCTCAGACTTGCGTGTGTTTGGACAAACTCGTGGATGTCCGGTCTCACCACAGACCTCTCCAGAGCGCAGGTGGGGCGGTGGTTGGTGTGGGAGGGAGGGATGGATGGATGGATGCTCCATCCCTCCGAACCCAGCTGCGACCTGGCTGCTTTCTGAAACCCTTAGGCATGCTTTTTCTGCTCCTTTGTGTGGGGATATTTCAAGGAAACTTAAACGTGGCCCTTGTGGGCATCTGTGGGTCCTTGAAATAAAGTGCAAGCGTACGTTCTGCCCCTGGGGCTGTTGGCAGCGTGAAGGGCACGTGTGGCACGGGCCGGGGCCGTCGCCGGGGCCCTTGCAGCTGCAACAGGGACGCTGCCGAGGCTGAACGCGGAGGTCAGGGAACAGCTGGGGTTTGTTCTTTCCTCTACCAGGGCATCACCATGGGAACGCTGCAAATAACTTTTTCTGAGCGCTTTCATCTGCAGATTGAGGATAATGGTCATACGTTGCTCTGGATTGGGTAATTGGGATGGAGAAACAATATCCTTTGAGAGCTGAAGAGGTTGTGGTTGACTTTACACTTAGTAAAATAATGCTGTGAGCAGCAAGAGAAATGGAGCATTTAAAGATGCTTAGAACATGTTATTGAGATGTTTTCTTTCCATCAGATTATGCAGTTTTAACTGAAATGTTTGATGGAAATATATTTCCATATCAAGATGTCATCTCGTCTTAAATCAAGTTTATAGTGGTTTTATATTTCCTAGTGAAGGAAGTGTTCCTTCTAATTCAATCTTTTTTTTCCAGAGATACAAAATCATAAGTTTAGCCAAGCAATTTAATTACAGATTTACATTTTTTGAGATGCCTGTGAAAGTGCGTGTGAGCTTATTTCTCTTGCTCTGGGGGAGGATAGAAAAGGGATTTTCATATGATTTCTCACGTTAGGACAAATCAGTTAATTGCCAGAAAATTCTGCAGCGCGCTGTGCATGTGAGGGAGTTCTTTGCTCTCGGGTTTTGGTAGTCGTTCATCTGAGCTGTGATAGTGTTCGCAGTCCAGGTCTGGCTCCGGTTTTAGGGAGCGGGTGGAGCGAAGAGCTCCCATGGGTCGGTGCTTGGCATGCTGGCGGTGCACCCGGACGCGGGTTTGGGCAGCGCCGGGTCTCCCGGAGCGCCGCGGTGCAGAGCGGGCAGGGAAGGCGCAGAGGTCGCTGGCTCCTCACCCGCTGATCGCTCTAGGCGGCGAGAGACGCTGTGCGGGAAACGCCTCCTGGTTCCTCCAGCCGAGCGAGTGGGGTATCGGGGAGCCGGGAGCTTCCCAGGGGGCTGCACCCAGCGTGCGGGTGGGTGCAGGGGCTCAAGGGTGCCCGAGTAACCTTGTCTCCGCACGGCGCTTGCCAAAAGCGGGATTGCAGCTTGGAGCAGAGAGGCCTTACATTAATGGACTTGGCAGCCGCAGTCATTAATCATCCTTGTAAACTTAATGACACAGTACGAGAAAGAAGAAAAAGTTAAACATCGGAAATGTAAAACGCTACCTAGGGCTTTTGTTTCTGACAATATTCTATATTTATGTTCTCTGTTGGGAGAAGCCCAGAATTTCCACAGTAGAAAAAACCAGTAGTAATTGCTGCGTGTGCTCAGGCTTTTCTTGAGGGGCCGGGCAGAAATGCCCCGTTTCCCAGTGTGGTAGCTAGCATCAACTTCTTACAGATTTCAGGCTTAGGTATTGCTTGGTAGTATGCAAATAAGTGCAGTTACAGAACTCTATTTGAGCGCTGTTTGGCGTAGGAAGAAATTCTTCAGCGGTGCCGCGTTGGGGACCTGGAGCAGCGTGCTGGCTGACATCGCTGATGTGCTCTTGTCTTTCTGCTTCGCTCGCGCGACAGCGACATGCGCCTCTTCCGCTTGACATCAAGTTATTTCCCGTCTTTGCTCCGAAGCGCAGGGATGATCTTGAAGGTTTGGAGAATTGCCTGAGGGACGTAAGAGACCCAGACTGATTTGGGAAGTGAGTCTCGAGTGTTCGGGTTGGCTGTTGCGCTGAGGAGTAGGTGAAAGCGATACCTCGTCTGCCACCTGCTACTCCCGCTCCCCCTCAGCCCCCCGGCAGAGCCGCGCCAGGCAGCCGCTTCCTGCACGGCTCCTGTCAGCGCGGGTTTGTGCATCAGAGTGCCGCTCGGGGTGAAGACACGGCAGTAAGGCGTGCTGCTACCTTCTGGGTTTTTTATTAAATGCTTTTAAGTGCCTTTAGAATTAACTCTTGTGTCTGAAAACTTAAAGCACCTCTTTGTTTCAAGGCTGCCCCGGGCGGCGTGGTGTGCCGCAGGTCTTCGCTGTATTGCTGTACCAGTTCGTACCTCATTTACCCAAGCAGGTTCATGCATTAGAAATCCGTGGGGTTGAGCAAGCGTGTGGGACCAGCTTTCATCACCCCCGCAGTCTGAGCCAGGAGGGGGTGTCCATCCAGGTCACAGCATCCCCTCTGTGATAAGCCATCACGATGGCAAAACTTGATGGAAAAGTGGCATCGCTCATTGCCTTTTCCTGAGGACGGTGAAATTATTCAGTGTATTTTGTTTAATGCTCCCCATTAAGTTCAAGTTAATTCAGATGTGTTTTGCTTAAGCGCAGTTTCCCGGAGCCAGAGGCTGGCTGTTGTCGTAAGAGCTCTGCGGCTCCCGAACACTTACAAAGCTGGAACGTCCTCGCGGTCTGCATCGGCTCTGTGATCTCTCAAGAGCAATGAGAATATTTAATTTTGACTAATTGCTTGCTGCCCATGTGATCCCAGACTATAAAATATTACAGTGGTATTGGCAAATGCTGTTGTTGGGAGTTTTGTTGCTTCCTGCTCCGCCTGGAGGAGCAGCCCCACGTGCCACCTCCTGCCACCACCGCTCTGGCCCGCGGGGCTGCCCTTGGGTCTGTGCTGAGCCAGGGGAGGAAGCCCGTGGACGTAAGGTTTTGTGAATGAAAGGAAGTGCCTAGTTGAGGGCAAAATGTTTGCTGGGTGCTGGAGCATCTGTAACATGAAGACCAGCGGTGCTGGTTCCCGCCCGTGTTGGGGTGGTGGAGGTGTCCTCTGGCCCTCGGAGGCGGGCAGGAACGTCCCACCTGAGCCGGTCACCAGCTGGGCCCTGGGCTACCAGCCGCTGGCACTGCGCCTCCAGAGCCTGCCCATCCTCCTGGCCGCCACGGAGATGTGAGGAAACCCACTTTCTTTAAAGGAGAAGAAAAAGCTCTGAAAGTGAAATCAAAGGGGAAGAACGTTTACACCCTGCCTAGAGCAGAGTCAGGAGTAAACTGTTTGTACACCTGACTGACGCTGTCTAGCACGTGTGGGCGGCTTTTCTCGCTGTGTGTGATTACAATTTAAGGCTGATCAGTGAACGAGATGGAAATTTCTCTTTAACAGAAGCACTTCATTATGGGTTTATTTTGTGAAATTAATGAAATTCTGTGCTTTGCCTAATGTACAAAGCAGAAAATCTGCTACTGGCTTTGCTTTTGCAGTTCCTCAGTCATGTTTACATAATTAGTAAATGTTGTGAACAGGCTCGGTGATTTAGCAGAATTGAAAGGTTACCATTCCTGGCAATTTTAAACAAAAGCAGTAATACCTGCTATGCCGTTCATGCTCTAATAGAGATTCCTCATCTTCCTCTTAGGAAAATCTAACTTTTTTCCCCTTCCCTTTTCTTAATATAAGGACCAGCGCTGTAATTGTGTAATGATAACTCTTTAAAAATGGCTGATTTTGCAGTTCCTTGCCATTAATGTGTCAGAGGCCTGGGACCAGATTGAATTCTGTAAAGCATAGCAAACAGATGAAATGTATTGTTTTGGATAATGTACAGCCCTCCTGGGTTTTTTCCCAAGTGAATTCGATTTAATGAATTAAATTAACTTTTTTACCCTTAATGATAGCTAAAGAAAAAAAATCACTTCATAATTAGTTTTAGTATATTATACACAAAGTATAAAGTGCTGATGGTATTTAACTTGCTGGCTTTTTGTCGTTAGTGACCTATCAAAATACCTCTGAATATTTTTGCAGATGTTGAAACTTTCTAGCAGTCAGTTTGGGGTGGAATTATTCCAGTCTCTTGGGTGACTCCTGTGGCCGTGCCTCCGCCAGGCTGCATGGTGAGCGCCCTCGGGCCGCGGTACGTCGACGTGCAGCTGGTTGTGTTCACGGTGCGGGGGAAGCGGATGCGCCGTTTGTGTGTGGCACCGAGGGATGAGGCAAGTGGGAACGACTCTTTGGTTCAGGGATGAAACCTCCCAGGAAACCTCAGTGGCTCCTTCAGATGGAAGGGACTTTCTGTTTCTTTGCCACATCGGCCACCTCCAGGGTCCTCTACCGAAAGTGTTGAGTGGACAGTTGTAGTTCAGCAGCAACAAATGCACTTCTAGACATCTGTTCTTCTCTGAACCCTTGGTCTATCATATACTTAACACACACAAAAAAAGAAAAAAACCCCAAAACTATCATAGATTGCTCTAGAAATGCAGGAAAAAGGTGGAATATAATTTACTCCAGTTGATAAACTGGTGTGCTTTTTCCTAACCTGCATCGACTGCTGGGGCTCATCCTCGCTAATGGTACACGGCTACTCTGAAGTGTAGTATCAAAAGAGAACGTGGAATCAGGTGTAGGGGGAATAAAAACTTGGCGTTAGCAGCTATGTAAACCCTTCTTCAAAAGTGAGAGAATTAGCGGAGTGCATTGATTTAATTGTTATTTAGCTGTTTGTCTGCAGGGACACCAACAGTACTGGTAGGTACCGTGGCATCACGTATTTGGATCTCTGGCTTGCCCAGCACTGAGTAAAATACTCACTGGTGTGAGTTGTACTTTGTACTGCATTTTACAAGGAAAATGTTACAACAAAGTCAATTTACAAAGTCAATTTAAGTGTGTCTCTGCCAGGGACTGGCATATATAAACACAAATGAATTGGTTCACTTGTCGAATGAATGGAAACTGAGGATATTACATTTTGTAAGTGATTGAAATCCTGTCTTCTTGGTCTCATGTTTGCTACTTCCAAGGGTGGCTGTTTCATTTTTGAAAAGAAAAATCAGGGGATTTAGATGAAAACGAAAAACTAGATATGAAGGAAAAATTAGTGCCAATAAAAACAAAGATGTTATGCGGGGGTAGTACTTAAGGAAAAAAAGGACTGAGAGTGAAACCAATTTGTTTTCTGCAAAAGGAGTGATCATTGGGGGGAACAAAATGTGCCTGGGGGGAGAGGGGAGAAATCTGTTGCAATAGGGGAGAAATTAAAAAGAACAACAAAAGTCTGTGTTCGTTCCTTTGGAATCGGTGTCTGTACCCAGCTTGCAAACGTGGCTGTGGATCCTGACCAGGGGAGCGGCCGGCTGGCGGCAGGAGGGAGTTAGCCAGCCTCGAGCCCGCTGCCATCCCCTGGGTAGAATGCTCTTGGAGTTACGTAAAACTCATTTCTGTGCAGACTTTGTGTTGCCGGAGCAGGGGGAGGGAGCGTCGGGCTGGCACTGGGTGCAGCACCCACAGCGCGGGCCCGCGGCGGGGCGGCCCCTGTCCACCCGCAGGCGGCCGCCCGTGGGCTGCCCGCCTTCCCCAGCGCTCGCCCTGCCTGAGTACGGGGGCTTCCTGATCGGGGGAGTCGCCTTAATACCTGCCGGGCTTAAGGAGCTGCTGAGTCACTGCCAAGCCGTGTCTTTGTTGTGGAATGATTTCTGTGTCGCTTGGTTTCCAAATCGCTCCTCTCCGAGGCGCAGTGGTGGTACAGAGCTGGAGGGCGATGCGGGGCCCGGCCTCGGCGCGGGCGAAATACCGTCAGGGAAGCTGACGTCTTGGTTGGGGTCACAGAAACTGGAGGTGATAAATTCCAACACGTGGCAGTAGCTTTAACGGGAGAGTTTGCCAGGCACCGGTGCTGAGGGGGGATATTAAAAATACAGAGTCCTTTCTTGACTGCGGTATGTAAAACAGGAGCGATGGGGAAAGATGCCGTGTGTTTTCTGGAAGAACATACAGGCAAGTCAGGTCGTTGCACTACAGCTCGGAATGTGGTGGTTTTCTATCCCGGGCGGCCTTGTGGCCGTACAAAGACACGGTCCTGTGGGTGGGCTTGTTCCTTGGCTTCAAGCGTGCAGGTGTTTTGGCCCGGGTGGAAGAGTGCCCAGACTGCACGCCTTGCCAGGCAGGGAGGGGCGCAGGGATGGGGGGTTGTAGTGCCCTTGGTGGGTGCCTTTCTCCTAAAGTTATCTGATGTAAATATTACGCTCTCTGCATAAATTTAGTGTAGATAATTGACTGCATCTTGCTCAGAAATGGGTACCAAAGGTTTTCTTTATAGCTTGTGTGTAATTGAAATTCCAGGAGGGGAGGCCTTTGTCTGGGTAACCACGTTGGAATTACTTTTTTATTGTAGCTTCAACCAATATGTTGTGATGCTAGGAGCTGAGCCTGCCTGTGTGTCCGTAATTGCGGCGTTTCCGCAGCTAGGAAGGGCCCGTCACAGCCCGAGAGCAGACGATCTCAAGGCCCCGCGTGCCGCTCCCGAGGCAGCGGGCTCCCGGCGAAGGGACCCGCCGTGCTGGGGCGGGCGCGGCCCCTCGGCCCTGCTGGCCCTGTCCCCAGCTCCGAATCCCCATTTCGTCTAAGGAGGAACGAACGCACCGGCACGGAAGTGGGAGGACTTGTAGAGGCCGTTCCCAGGGAGGCCCCAAGCCAAAGTCTTGGTAGAGAAGCAGGCCGTGGGCGCAGGAGCGGCGCCGCAGGGTGGTGGTGGCGGCAGGCGGTGCCCAGGCGGGGGCAGGACGCTGCTGGGTGTGGATGGCGAGAGCTGTGGTGGGATGCCGCGGGAGGTGCTGGTTTTACTCACTGAAGCTCCTTTGTTTTGCAGAGATCTTGATGCAGACGCCCTTTTGGATTTCTTTTTAATAATGTGTGACCCTTCACCTTTGATCCCTTGACCTGCATTACTTTGGTAACCATTTCATTTTTTTAATTTCATTTCATTTTTAATTTTGGTGTGCAAGCTGTAACATTTCATCATTTTAAACTGTAGCGTTCTTTGACCTCCCCAAATGTCTCTTTTTTTTTTTTTTTTTAATGGAGATAATGTTGGCTTTTCTTTAATAAAAATTATTTCAGTTGTTTAAAAAAAAATGAAGTATGTAATTTTCATTGGATTTTGCTTCTTTTAAGTTTAACTGTGTATATGTTTCTTGTATGGCACATCACATTTTTTGACCTGTGTTCTCCCGGTATTAAATCTAATTTATTTTGATATTTCTGTACATCTTTGGTTTAATTTGCATTTCTCTGCAGTTCTTTTGATCAGTAAAAACATACACTGGTCATCCCCCATCCCCCCAACACCGGTCACATTTTGATAGCTGAAAGTAATCATGGGAGCATTTAAAATACTCTTATGAATAAGAAATATTCTTTATTGTTAAAATTTTGTTCCCTGTCCTGAAGATAACTTTTCCTAACCATCAGCTTAATACTGATAGCTATTTTAATAAAAGATTAGGCTTTAGACCAAAATGAAAATCTCAATTGAAAGTCAATTTACAGTTACTTTTACATTATCATTTTAGCCAAAAGGAAAGTTATCAATGCTCTGAGATGTGCTTTAAGCGTGGATGTGCTTAAAGAAGCAGCATTGTTGGTACGTTGGATAGTAAAGCCCCCAGAGTTGAGTAGCTGTTTCTTTCCATTTTCCTTTTTAAAGGGTACCGGTGTATAAGACAGATTTTGGCCAGATTCTATTTTTATCTTGGAAATGATCATACAAAATCTACTGAGCATGGCCCACTGAAGTACAGATTATTTTTTAAGTGTCTCATTATTTTATTCTCTAACATTAAATGCTGAAGTTTTAATTGCACACAGATGAAGCTGCTAAATGAGCACTGAAATGGATTTAGGTCTTCTCTGAGCCTTGTGGATGCTTATAAAACTTTATATTGTTCATTAGAACCACAGATTAAAATTGCTGTGAGCTGTTCACCTGTTAAAGTCGGCTCTGCTGACCTCACCTGGCTGCTGCCCGTGTCTGGCCTCTTTCGCCCATCTGAAGACCCTCCTGCTGATACTTTCCCTGGCGAAACGGGCTGCAGCAGGCCCCGCTGCGGTGTTTGCCGGGGGTGCTGCTGAGCCCAGGGCTGAGCCCGAGCTGCCTGGTGTCCCTGCGAGCCCTCCGCAAGGTGTGGGGGGGTGAGCTCCAGCAGGCTTTACCCCTGAGCAGCGGGGATGCACCGTCATCGCCAGAGTCTGCTTCAGGAAGCATATCCTGTTTTTAATTAGCATCCGTGCTTGAGAAAATGGTTATTTCCAGCACTAATCTTCGTGCTTAAATAGCAAGATCTCTGTTTATAAACTGCCCTTCATTGTGTTTGCAGAGTCACCTGTTAAAATAACGTGGCAGTCAAAAACAGTGTTCACAAGATTCTGCTGACCAGTATCTCCTCCGTGTCGATGTACGTGTTTCTCTGAGCCAGTGGTTAGGAGCCGAGATGGACAATCACAACCTACATCAGTGTTTGAAGCATTCAGGTGGTTTTTTCCATTTCCCCTCCTGTTCCAAATTTTAGCTGTAATCGTTTTTGTAGGCCTAGAGTCATCAATTCTGGTATATAAGGCTGCCGCTCCTACATCGAGCGTGTTTTGGGTAGCTGGGATTTGGCTTTCACTCTGTTTTAATGCTGCCTGTCAGCCTGAGAAGTACGATGCTCCAAAAACATCTTGAGCTGTTTCTCCAGTCTTCAGAACAGGGGTTTTAAAACTCAGTAGAAAAAAAATGCTCATTTTGCCCAAGAAAACTCCTGGAAGACTATTTTTCTCCTCCTTGTAACACATGTTTATATCAGCAGCAGTTAGATGTGGATGCCTTGACTTTCTAGGAAAGCAATTTTTAAAAAAACCTGTATTTAGAGATCTGGAAACCAAAGGGAATCTCCCTCCTTTGTGCAGAGGGCTGGCTTTCAGCTGCCTTTTGGTAGAGCAAATAGCGAGGAAAAAAAAAAGGGATGGAATAAAAATGTCTGATGTTGGGAATTGGAGTCAATAATATAAAAACACAGGAGGTTGGAAGACGGCTAGAATTTCTTGTTTCAGGAGATATTTTGTCGTGTCTACCCTGCCTTCCCTAAGGTAAGCGCTCTAGTGATGGCAGTAGTTGGGTGTATCTCACAAGCTGTTTGGGTGACACGGGATGATGCATGTTATCTTTTTCATGATCTTTCCAAGTACTCTGTTAGATGCAGATGGTTATTCACAGAAATCAGTGTAATGAATATGGATTATGCCTGTGTTGCTGCTGCATGGGCTTCCAGGGGGCTGGAGCTGCTGAGCAAGGAGGAGGTGGAGCCCTTGGAAAGGGAGGATAGGAATTGTTCTCAGTTTTCTGTATAAACAACAGTAAATACTAGTAAGGAAAACTGCTTTGTTAACAGGCAGTAGCATTGCCATTTATCCAAACTTAAAGTCTTCGGGTTTCTGCTGCAGTGTCACTGGATGACAGTGGGTGACACCGGCAACAACTGTCCATTTTATGGCAAGAGGTGATGGAACAATTCATTTTACCGACCTTGTTTTAACTGAACAGGAAATAAAATACATGTTTTCTTCAAACACTTAATCAAAGAACTATACAAATGCTGCAAAATGTTGGCAAAGCAAAACATTTATCTGTTTAAATATTAAGAGAATACTCTGTTGAGAGATTTGTTCCTGCTTACGAGGTTTTTCTGTTACTCAAAGCCAGAATATTGATAGCATCCACTCCTGAAAAAAGTCTTAATTTTGAAATTTATGCAATATCTTCTTCTGCTGGATGCTTTTATATGCTAACCTTAACATAAGGCTAAACGGCTGAAATGAAATACTTGGCACATTTACTCGCTGTAGAACATTGCACGTCTTGCAGTTCAGGTAATGCATCTGGGGTCAGATTAACCTGATGGGCTCTGTTCAGCCCGACAGACCCGCTCGTGTATCAGTCATCTGCACGTGATGCTCATTTAATAAAACATACATAGGCATCAGACAGATTGCTCACTTTGGTCTCAACTACTTTGAGAAACAGATGTATCAGTCAACACAAGCAAACATTGTTTTATTTTTTCTATTAATAATAAAACTCATCCAAACGTGCAGGATAAAAAAGCGTACAGGACAGATTTTTTTTTCCCCCCCCCCAAAGTCTGTGTCTGAGAAAACACACAGATTTCTGTGCAGAATCTGGATGTACGCAGTAAACTTAACAAATGGGCAGCCATCCCCTCCTAGTGCGTTCTAGGGCTGGCGGCTTCTAGGCGGGAATCCTGTTGCTGTCGTGCTTGGAGCGGGGGGCGTCGCTGCTGGGGGCATCGCCGGGTGCTGCTGCAGCCTGGCGGGGCCATGCTGGGGGCGGGTGCCCTGGCCGCCACCTTCCTGGGGAGTTTTCCTCTGGGATTGGGGGTGGATTTCCCAGGCTTCTCACCCCGCTTGCTGCTCTGCGTGTATATTGTTTTGCGAAGTCCTTAAATAATTTAATTACTGCTGTTGCTTTAATCTTGAGGTTCTCGAAGTGCGTTGAGGTCTTTGATCGCTGGAGGGCTAAGCTGGCGCCGTTGGGCAGCCGTCCCCGGCTCCGTCTTGTGCTTCTGCTTTGACTGCTTACAGAAGTAGAGCTCCTGTAGCTGTCGAGACCCCGCGTTTGGCTTTGTGTGTGCTGGAGCTAGGGTCCTCTGTCTTTCCTCCGCTCTTAGCTTCAGACCTCTGGCGAGAAAATGTTCAGTGATAAAAATGTGTTTTTATTTCTCCTTCAGGTTTGGCTTGTCTGCTTTTCAGCTCTTCTAGACATTGGAAATTCCAGTTTGTGTTTATTTTCTCTGGATTCCTTCCCACAAGACAGAAGTGAATTCAGCATGGATTATGGGGGAGAGCCTTGGCTGGGAATAAGGATAATTGCAGTCTCTGGCTGTGCCACAGATTTACTGATGATTTCTTTTAAGTTATTCACCTACACTGTATCTGTTTCCTCAGCTGTAAAATATGGGTAATTACCTCCATTGTAAAATGTTATGGGGTCTGCTGGTAATTATATGAATGAAGTGCTAATTACAGTGATTATTACTTGGACCTAGTCTAGATCTGGGTGATGTTCCTGTTGTGATGAACGTATGAAACAAATACTACAACTTGCCTTTCTCCGTTCTTTGCGAGGGACCTGGAAGGGGAAGGTGTCACGGCACCCGCGTGTAAATCCTGATGAGAACCGCCGCTGCTTTCTCAGCCCAGTCAGTCTATTAACTCCGTCTCCCTCGGTCCTCGTGCGTCAGCAGGGCGGTAGGCTGGTGAGAGGCTGGGAAATGACTAACTCAGTGGTTAGATCCACGTGTGAGTCGATGACAAGGGTTTGTGCTCTGGCAGGCGCTTTTCCTCGTGGAGACGCGTCGAAGCGAGCAGCCTGGGAACGGTTCTGTGTGCCGGGGCAGCGGGGCTGGGCCCGGCCTCCCGCCTCTGGCAGAGCTGACCTTGACGTGAGGGGAGCTGTCCTTCAGCTCTCAAGGTTATTCCCCTCCTGTCAAAGACTGCAGCTTGCAAGACTTTAGTATCAAACATTTTATTTGCCTTTCTCCATTTTTTTTGGAAAGAGTCTCTTTGTAGCTGGGAATAGCTCTACTATCCACTAAGCAAGGCCAGGTACTGGAAGAAGAATTGATATTCTTTAAGGTAGAAATGGAGTGTTCTCATCCAGAAAATATTGCTGCTGCTGCCCGGGTGATGCTGTAGTTCTGACTGTAGTAATCATGAGTGATGTCATACATCTGTTAACGATGAGAGGCTCCTACCCAACACCAGCCCTCCCTGGACACACAGTAACAGCAAAAATCATGTTCTTGGGGTTCGTCCCGCTGCAGTCCCTGCCTGCTCTGTTCTGCCACAGCTACTCGCTCTGCCTTTTAGTTTCAGCCCTCGCCTCCACACACCCACTTGCCACCAGCCTCGTTCTTTGCCCTGGGAGAGCAGCTGCAGATCTCAGTCACGTCTTCAGAATTCGGTAGCAAGCTGGAGGTGACACGCCAAGCAGCTCTTCCTTCCTCATCGTTTCATGATTGCCGTGAATTTTTAACTTTGAAGAGGAGGGTTTAGTTATTGCCCAGTATGATAATCTGAAAAGGCTTTCTAGCAATGGGAAGGCAATTTTTAATTGCAGTTTTGCACTTGAATTTGCCAAAGTAGATGCTCATCTCTGACAGTTTATTTGTAAGTGATTCGACGCGCTGAAAACAATCAGGACTGTGTCACGTCCTCGCAGTGTTTCAGTTGTTGACAATGCAAAGTCCATCTAACGCAGGTTACTGCATTACTGTTCTGTTTGGGGATAACTAAAGGAGACAAATGGTTCCAGTACAGGTTTTTTCCAAAGCTACTAGGTTTAAAACTTTTTAAGTCATAACTGAAAATCCACCTGCTCTCTAGATGTGCACGTATCGACCATGACACAGGTTGCAGTCGGGTCTGGAAACGTAAGTTTGTGCCAGGCCCTGAACCAGCAGGTCTCCGCTGACAGTGTTTCCATGCACAGGCCGTGCCGGACACCAGCCCGTGTGCCTCAACCCCCAGATTTTGTGCTGCTCTTTCCCTTCACATGCCCCGTGGCTGCACGGACGATGCCCCCATGACCAGAGTTGGGGGAGCCCGCCTGCAGCCTTGACCTCGGCAAAGGGGCACTCGGTGCTTTTGTCTCTTGGCTCTCGACTTGGTCAAGGAGGTTTTCACGACAGGATGCTTGTGTGCGCCAGTGGCAGGTAGCAGCTTGTGACTGCAGACACGTGAAAACGGTCGTTACTGGTAACATGGGCATGTGAAGAACTTGCCTTGTTGGGTGGAGGCAAAGGAAAACGAGGGAACATCGTCCCTCCCAGGATCACTGTTACCTCACGAAGCATCTGAAATACCAGGTAGCTGTGTGTCTGTGCACCTCACCTAATAGTCATGTTGGATTTTTTAAAAAAATCTTATTGATTTGGGCAGCAAAAAACTTGGTTCATTCCTACAGAAGCATCATCTGTTAAGGTCCTAAAGAGGCGTCATCTATTAAGATTAATTAAGTTGGTGTGAGATTCTTCAAAAGTGAATAATGCCACATAAACATTCTTACTGCACGTGCACTTATTGCACAAGTGAATCGATCTGTGTGCACTCTGCAGGTCCTGCATGGTGAGGCACATTAAATTACTACGTAACCTAAAGGTTAATCAATAGTTCAGATTCGAGATCTATTCTTTTTTACAGCATTCTTGCAAAAAGTGGGAAGGTGTGTGATAGCTGGGATTCCTGTATCTCAGTATCACTCTGAATGCTGTAAATCAACAGTGTAAGTAATGTGAACTTTTTTAAACTTTAATGTTTAGTAACATAATAATTATAAACTCTTTCAAGTCTTCCTCCTCTTAGAAATTAGCGAACTGTCTGGTTTTCATCGTGGTGGTAAAGCCTGACATAAAACTGCTGTAGTGTGTGATAAAAATGCTTTTGAGGATCTGAATTAAAATGTAGCATCACCACAAAACCTCAAGTATTAAAACGTGATTCCAAAATAACGTGCTGTTCACTGGAGATTTCTCTAGTTTTGAGAGCAGGTTCTTAAACATCAACGTGGCCCGTTTGGGCAGGAATTGCAAACCCCAGTGAAGTAGCTGAGATGGCGTTTTTACTTGTCAGTGGTGACGACAGGAAAATCTGCTTCTTTTTTTTTTTTTTTAATTTTAAATTTTAAATTACCTGTCATTACTTTGTGAATCAGTGAGTTGCAGACGGAGACGCTGGGCGGTTTTGGGCGGTGCACGCCGAGCGGAGGAGGGCTGCGGTGCGGGTGCTGGCCACGGGCCCTGTCGCTGGGGCTGGTGGCCACGGTGCCGGGGCTGGTGGCCACGGTGCCTTCAGCGTCGCCCCGTGACCCTGGCCCCGCTCCACGACCGGGGAGGCAGCCGTGCGGGCAGGACAGCCGGGCGGGCTTGGCGAAGGCAGCTCGTCCTGCCTGTCCCTGCCTGCGCCGCCAGAGGAGGAGGAGGAGGAGGATTTCCTTCGCGCGCCCCATTTCTAGCTGCCCCTGTCTCTGTACGGACGCGGAATCCCCACAGGAGGGTGCTGTGAAGGCATTTAATGTGCAGATTTTGCAGGGAAGATCAGAGTTTTGAGGAGACGGCGATTGTAGGGAAGCCAGTGCTGCGTCGTTGCGGCAAGGGCAGCGCTGAGCTGTCCCCTGGCAGGGGCTCGGGCAGAGGCCTCCCCGCTGCCCGTGGAGGTGTCGGGGCTGCAGGTGACGACCGCGAGGAAGCCGACCTGCAGCCTCCGAGAGCGTCCCAGGGCCGTTACCCACCTCCCGCTCGCCGAGGGAGCCGGGACTCTCCAGTGGGCAACGGGCCGCGTGGCTTCTCGCCGCCTTGGAGCCACCCATCTACTTCCCATCTGTACATGGAATATTTCACCCACATAAGTTCTGCCCTAAAATACTGTAAATGAGACCGTTTCGCTCAGCGTGGTCAGAAAGGCTAATGAGAAGTAACAGAGCAAGCTCTCTTCAGATCTTAGCTGCAAAACTTCTCTTCCAAATATTTTATGTAAAAGGGGTTATTCCTTTGGTACAGGGTATACTCATGGCCAGATACTTTTATTTGACAAGGCCAGTTAAACAGCATTTCCCACATGCTGCTTTCTATTGCTGGGGTGCTGCTTCAGACAGAAATTAAGTCTGATCATTTAAAAAAACCCCAAAAACCAAAAATCCACAGCCCAGGGGGAGCTGTGGCCTGCGTCCTTTGCCTCACGCTTCCACTCTGCCCTCCACCCTGCTTCCTTCTATTGCTTTTCACTTTTTTTAAAACTTAAATAAACTTTTTAAACCAAGGATTATAATTAAAATAGAGACTTATCTTTGGGATGACCTCTAAAACACATGGGGGGATTAAATCTAATTCTGCTCTATGGAATATGGGTGCTCTGATTCTTTCTTTTAATGGTAATGAGATAAACTGATTAGAGCTGTATTACTGTGGGGTTTTTAAATCTACTAGCCATTAAGAATACATCCCTCTTAGACTGGGCAGCTGGGGTCCGTGTGTGAGTCCCTGGGGGGGTTCACCGCTGGCCGGGTGGGCATTGCCCCCCGTGCTTGTTCTGTACCAGATTTGCGGTATCGGATGTTGGATGGAGGCTGCTCAGCAGAGAGGGTTTGTGGGATCTGGCATTTTTGGCACCTGTCAGATTGCATCTCCCGACTCCTCTGCCGGGAAGGATCGTCACGGCGCTGACCTGGGAAACGCTGTGGAAGGGCAGAGCCCGGCAGCAGCATGGGGCTGGAACGGAGCCGCCCCTGTACCCCTCCGCTGTCCAGCTGGGTTATTGCACGGAGGCTCGGATTCTGGCTTTGTAAAGTGAGGCTGTCTGCTTCCTGCAGGAGCTTTGGCCTAGCAGTGACCAGCCGTAGGGTTGGTGGTTTCCAGCAGTGTCTCTTTGGATGCTCAAAAATCAGAGCGTCAGTTCTTAGGCCGATCTGCTGTGTCATGTGCGTCACCTCTGTGACCTCCACCTGCCCTTGCTCCACAGAGCTGCCGTCAGTCAGGAACAGCCTTACCTGTTCTGTAGGGCCCTTTCCTCCTGCCTTCTCCAATGAAAAACAAACAAAAGAGCTTAAGCACACAAGGTGCTAAATAGAATAATAAGCTGTGAAAATATTTTACGGGAAAATCTGGAGCAAGATCTGTCTGCTGAAGCAAGCCTGTTAGACTTGGCAGCAGAAAGGCTTTGGGAGAGAGAATTGAAAGATTTTTTACAAATGTACGTGTTGGGTTTTTTCCCCCCCTTCCTGAGTAGTTTTAAGAAATCCCTCCCTCCTTAAATTGATTACCTCTCAGCGTCAGAGCGCCTTGGCTTCAGCTGCTCGCTAAGCTGCTCCTGTGCTGATTTGACTGCTTTTCTGTTCAATGTAAAACAGTTTTTAATCTCCTCATTTAGATGTTTTAATAGAAAGTAAATGTTTAACTTGCTCTGCTGTGGCATCCAAATCTTTAATCCATGGGAACATTTATAATGAAACGAAGACGTGCTTTTGTTTAAACCAGGCACCAGCAGCCCCCCAGGGCTGCGGAGTCGCGGCAGGTTCCGCGGTGGGAGGTGTGCGGGCGGGAGGGCTGTGCTGCCGACCTTGGGGAAGGGAAAGGCCGGGGTGCGATTCTGAGGAGGCGGCAAGAGGCTGGTTCACCCCACCCCGAGACAGGGAGGGGCCGCTGGTGCCACTTGCCCCGAGCTGGAGCTGGTGCCGAGGCGCTGGCGTCGGGGAAAGCGAATAACCGGCCCCGAGTGGGCGGTGGGTTTGCAGGCAGAGCGGCGAGACCCCTCCTCGGGGTGGTTTCCAGCTCTGGGGAATGGGGAGAGGTCTGTAAATGTGTTGCAAAGTGAGTGTTTATGATTACCACCTGCAAGTTTAGTGACAGCTTTTCCTGGGGGTTTGCATTTGGAGGTGGCGCAGTGGCGCTAGGCTGCTCGGGTGAGTGAGCTGAAGCGGGCGCTTGCTCAGGGAGCTGCAGGGCAGGCCTGCGTCACGCTTGGTTCCTGTCACACAGGAGGGGGTTCCACTCTTCTGTAGCCACTTGGTCTCTTTATTTATGCTTAAATTTAATTCTATTTTATATTAAAAAAAAGTCATTTTACTGCTCCAAGACACAAGTACTGCTGGCAAAGTAACAGGCCAAACTCAAAGCATCAAGTGAGTACGGATGGAAACCATCGCAGGTGCAAAAGCAGCCACCCGTGCCCACCTTGGTGGCGAGGGCAGGAATGACAGTTATTTGTTCCTTCAGATGCATTAGCTACCACAAATAAAAATGGGTATTTTTTCAAGCTGAAAGCACAGTAAGTCCTGTCAGACCGAGAGTGCTGCCGAAGCTTTTACCTGTGTGTTTCTGACCAGCCCAGCTGTCGGGAGGGAGATGCCTTTTGGGGCAGCTGGATTCTGAGAGGCACCTACAAATACTCCGTAAACACAATTCCTGCCACCTTAAAGATAACTGCAGTAATGTAGGTTTCTCTGGATAAATAAAATGCTCTAATTTTCAGGCTCGCACTGTTGGTGGTCCGGCTCTGATTATCTAAGTGCTGGCGTTGCCAATAGCCGGGTGCACCGGGGGAGCCCCCGTCAGGCCGAGCTGCCCCGTGTGGGGCAGGGAAACCTGGCAGAATGTTCTCCACTGGGGTTTCAGCCTCCCCCTCACGGTCGGTGCTGGCGCCAGCTCGAGCCTGTGGATGGTGCCCGTCCCCACGGAGCCCCACACCGGGGCTGGCAACCCTGGGGAGAGGAGCATCCCCCAGCACCCCAGTTTGTACCCGGTCTGTGTGGTG